CCGCTGAGCCTACGCGTCTGGAGCCTGTGCTCCGCAACAGGAGAGGCCACAACAGTGAGAGGCCCGCGTACCGCAAAAAAAAAATAAAAATAAAAAATAAAATAAAATACATACCCTTGGACAAGCAATGCCATGTCCCAGATTTATCTCACTAAAATAGTGACACAAATACCATGTGCAAAATACATGCATCCCTGATCAATATCCATGAGCATAACAAGAAATATCTTTCTATATAAGTACCAAGATACATTATTATCAAGTTTTTTTAAAAACTGCAGAAAAATTAGTTTATCATACTTCCATAAAATAATATATCAGTGTGTGCTAAAAAAAAAAATTCAAAAGGTTAACAATGATTACCTCTGGAAGCGAGTTCACAGAATATTTTTACTTTCTGTACCATACACCTCAATTGTATTTTCATTGTCTTTACTATAAGCATGTATTGCTTTTGTAAGTCAGAAAAAACAAAAACTAAAATCTTACTGGTGCTCTGGAGTTAGACCTGGATTCAACTGTCACTGTACCACTTACTAACTACGTGGGCAACACTGGAGAAATAACTTACATTCTCTAATCCCTAGTGTCCCTCAGCTGGAAAATGGGGAAAATAATAGCATCTACAGCTTATAAGGTCATTTTGCTAATTAAAAGAGACAGCACCTGTAAATGCTGAGTCCCTGGCATAAAGTGCTAAGAGGTATTAAACCAGCATCACCAGTACCTCTTCAAATATCGGTCCCCGTGTTCTCAGTAAATCTAGAACTGCCATTTACATATGGACTCAGAGGAACGCTCTGGTAGGCAAATTAATGGTCTATTAAGTATAAACTAAAATTAAATACCTCCAAATCAAGCCCTAACAATGCTCAAATATTCACACATATAAAACTAATCACATCTATAGTCACTTATTCTACTGGGCTTTTAAACATTTACTGTGTATATACAGAAAGTGTACCTTTGAGTAATTTAAAGCCACATTTCAGTCTCATTAATGTATGGGTGCATCCTGTAACAACAGTTTTGGTTCTTGGATCAGCTACATCAAACTCACCCCATTCAGGGACTGATTTCACTGTGAGGTGCCTTCTGGGGTTCGGCAAGGTAGTGGCCTTAGCCCGGAACCTAATTTTAAGTAAGATTCACAGGTAATTCTTATGCATGCTAAATTTAAAACATCACTGCTGTGCTGTAAGGGTGCCTTGACTAGATTTTAAACTTTGCAACTCAGACAATGCACTACAATGTCTTTGCATAAAATGACAATAATACATATTCACTTGGCATAACTGGGAAAAACCCAACTTTGACAAATAAAATGAAAGGCTCTCAATGGCCGTTCAGGAGTGCTGGAAAGTTCTTCTGAATTAAGCAAGTAACTATCAATATTAGTTTCTCTCAGGAGACCATGGTGGGTCTCTACTCTGTATTACTTCATTTCTCCAAAATCTATTACTCTTCTGTTCTAAGTAACAATTAGAATTGTTGCGGCATAACGTGCAACATAACAGGAATTATTGAGAAAAATCTCTAAGTACCACCAACTTAGTATTTAAAACCTAATAGTAGTCCCTCAAATCTGAATACACTGGCTGAGGAAGGAAACTGCCTCAAACATTTAAATGCTTTCTTTTAGCATCAAAGAAAGCTGATTACAAGAATTAACTTTTAATTTGGGTATTCAGAAAATTTTGAACAAAGGAGCAAGAGAACAAATTTCTTTCTTTCTGTCAAAAAAAACAAAAACCAAACCCAACAACAATAACAAAGAAGGCTGATTATAACAGATGCAGGAAAAGACACCTTATCTTAGAAGGCTGGTAAATAAATTAGTACTATTACAACGGGCAAGCTTTAATTAACTCATCAATGGTCTAAATAAATTCTATTCCCTTAAATGTTTCAAGCTATCTTAATTCTATTGTAATACAGGACTATGGTTGGTTTTCGTTTTTAACATTCACCACTCCCAGTAAAAGCCAAAAAGAAGTCACACAAGCCCCAAAATGACCCAATCTCCCTAACATAAAAGAGACATAAGAATAAAAGCGTGAGCAGGCACAACAACATGATCTAAAAGTGAAAACAATTAAAACGCAAAAACACAAGCTACACCTGTGACCGAGTGGCAGTATTGATTACTTAGAGCTGAATTCAATCCTTTGCGCCTCCCAGTTCCCAGGGGGAGAACGTTAAGTCTCGCATGGCTCTCTAGCAACCCTTCTGGCAGACTGAAGGAACACAGTGGACGCTCAAAAATGAAGAATAAAGCAGGAAAGAGGGCATCTTCCCGGGAGAGAAACGAGATCTTTATGTGAGGGAAAAAAACGAATTGTGCCAAAGAGCCGAAACCTCGAAAAATTATGCCAGAGAGGGGACAAAAAGGAGGAAGGGGAAGTAGATTAGAAAAAAGGGGGGGAGGGGGCAAGTGACTTGCATTATACGAGTAAACATTTAGTGCCCGCACTGGAATGGAGAGAAATAGAAGGGGAAGGCAACTGGGGAGCACAAAGTGAAAGAGGCACTAGAAAGCCAAAGAAACTAATGCTAATTTCTCTCGTGTCTTTCCCACTTTTTTCTGATAATCCACAGTACCAAAAGTCAGACCGCGAGGCACTTGGCTCCTCTGCAAATTATATTCTTACTGCATCTGAAGCCAGCCTACTTTAACTCCCTAAATAAGCTGTAACTCATATGTAAATCACAGAGACGAAGAGCGCTGCAAATGAAAAATACCAGTGATTCCCTCCCCTCTCTTACTGAAATCTTTCCTCGCAGCATTCCAATCAAGTGCTTATTTTTCTTGACAAATGTTTTTCAGAGAGTAGTCAAAAAAGAAAAAAAAAAAAAAAAAGCTCTACAGAAGCAAAGCCATCTTGACTGGCTCCAGTAGCAAACGTCCTCACTCACAGTATTAATAAGGTTGGTGGGTTTCCTCCCAAAATTCGGCCCCGAAACACCAGGAGACGGTGACGTGGTGACCGTGCAGGTCGAAGGAGCATCAATCACATATGCAGCCCTCTTCGAATCCCCCGCCTCCCGGACCAAGTCAGAGACTGACTCACGGAATGAGTACCCCATGCTCTCGGGCTTCTCCCGGGCCCCTTCTGGGCAAACCCCCACGAAAACGGCACAAAATTTAATTAGGAGCCCCCCAGCCTCTTGCCCCGGGGTCCGGAGCTCTGTCCCGAGCCAAGGGTCAGGGGAGGAAAGGTCCCCAGGAAGGAAGCGCCCCAGAAAGGGAAACTGGGCTCCCGGGGCGCCCAAGGATTCCGCTCCCCGCCCCGTTCCTCAATGTCTCGACCTCCAGGCCCGGCAGCCCTCGGTACGCAGGCCCGGGCCCCCCGGGCCGACTCCCGCTGCGGAGAGGGGAGGAAGGGGCACGGGAGCAGCGCCGCCGCCGCCGGCCGTACTCACCGTGGCGCAGCTGCTCCGCTCCGCGCCCGGCCGGCCCCTCCGTAACGGTGCGAGCGGCCGCCGACCCCGCTGCTGCTCCCCGAGGGCAGCGACTGTTCTCGCCGCCGTCACCGCCACAGCCTCCGTTGTCGCCGCCGCCGCCGTCGTCGTCCGGTCGCTGAAGCGGTACTGCCGCCTCGCTTCCGCTCCTCGTCGCGGTCCCGCGAGAACTTCCCGGCGCGGCCCCGCCCCGCCCCGCCCCCGCGAGACTTCCCCCAGCGGAAAAGGCCCAGAGCGCAAGCGCTCCTCCTCGGCCAGGCCCCCGCAGGTAGACCAGCTACAGGCCAGGGCGCAGGCGCCGGGCCGCCCCTCAGCAGGTGGCACCGGCAGGGCTCCACCCCCGGGGTTGCAGTAACCCTTTCGGTGCCAGAGCGGGTAAATAGAGCTCACCCCTGAAGGAGTAACTCTTATCCACGTCCTTTCCCCTTACACCAAACCAAGGCAATTTGGCTGGGGGGTTGGAGGGAGAATCTCCCTCCAGCGTGAAGCACTCCAAATAGAGGACCAGGTCTTGAAATATTTGAGAATCCGGTCCAAACAAACTCTGCAGTATTAGATGAATTAACACAGTCGCTCATAGATTGAATCAAGCGCCTAATACATGCTAAGCGTAGAAGGTACAACGACGAACAGAAATCGTGGCCCTCAAGGAATTCAGGGTCTAGATTCTATACTCTAGAAGAGTGGAAGAAAAGTAAACAAATTATACCTAAGTCCTGTTAGAATTATTTGGAGAGTGCTGAGGAAGCTAAAAAGTTGGGGGGGGGGCGCTACTCTGCCCATCTCAGAAAAGCCTACCCAGAGAAGGTGATTGTGGTGACGTCTGAGCCGAGTCTTGGAGGATGTGTAGGAGTTCTCCAGACAAGCAGGGGTAATAGCATTCCAGGTGAAGGGAACGTCACGCACGTACAAAGGAACGGAGGTGTGAGAGTCGTGTTCTGTGCAATGCTAAGTAGTTCGATTCGTAACCAGGGAGTGGCAGAAGATGAGGCTTGTAGGAGTAACTCTTTATTTTTCAGCTCCAAAAGCTCTTTCCAGTTAAAGGAGAGAACAGAGCATCTAATGGTAAGGTGCTTCCTGGAAGCCAACAAAATAGAGGTGAGAATAACCAAACATCTGATTCTATAGAGAAAACAAGCTCATTGAAATAAGGAGAATGAATTGTTCTTTCACATCAGCTGCATGTAAGGCACTATGCAGGGTGATAGATGAACCCAACAAAGCCTCTGCTTTCAGCAATTTGTCATCTAGAGGAGAGTTGCCTAGTCTGCAAGGCAAAACAGTTGGCCCCAAGTGCGATTGAACTACATACAGGACTGCAGAGGAGGGAGCCAGTTACTTGGTGCTCAGGTAATCAGGGAGGACTTGGTGTTTGAATTGCAACATGAAAGCAGAGAGGAAAGAGGGATGGAGTCAGCCAATATTTCAGATTGGCCAGAGTTTAGGATTTAGGGGGAGGAATAATGAAAGGCAAGGCCAAGATGTACAATTTAGGCTTCATTGACAAGTAACAACCTCTGAAGGTTTTTGAGCAAGAGATGCCTGACATGAGGTGAAAATAACAAGAGGACCATCTATTCACCACCCGATGTATACTAAAGTCATAGTGTTTCTACAGTGGATAATATCCCCATTTTACAGACTGGGAAACTGAGGCTTAAAGAGGTTAGAAACTTACCCAAGGAAACCCAAATATGGTAGATCTGAGATTTGAGCCTAGGCCTATCTTATTCTAAAACCCATATTTTTCCCCCACTTTGATATTTTGTTCTAGAATGGTGGCCAGAAAAAAAAAAAAGAAATGAAAGGGAAGAACTTAGCTGCTGAGCACAGAGGAGAAGGAAGTGAGGGAAAAGTTGCAGTTCTTTGTTTTGAGTGGGGAGAACAGCAGACAAATTTGCCAGTCAAGAGGAGGAGCTGGGGCCAGTGTCCTTGCCCTCACGGTGACACACAGCCACACCCCGCCTCTGCAGGAGACCCTCCAACACTAGCAGGACCCTACCACTCACTATCAGCAGAGAAGAGAGGTGAAAGGAATCCAAACCAGCAGGGCTGAGTGACAAAACAGGGCTTGTCTCTGTATTTTCTGTCAATGCAAAAACACTTTCAAAATATGTAGTAAATAGAGGGAAGAGATATGGGAACATATGTATATGTGTAACTAATTCACTTTGTTATAAAGCAGAAACTAACACACCATTGTAAAGCAATTATACCCCAATAAAGATGTTTTAAAAAATGTAGTGAATAAATAAATGCATAAAGGAACAAATGAGCAAGTAAGTACAAGAACAGCAAGGACCTCTGACTACCAACCTCTGAAAAACCAGGAAATGGTTCATCAGCTGATCTACAAAACAGCTGAAGAAAGAGCACAAAGGAAGACACGGTTGATCCACACCTGCAGAAGAAGTTGAATCAAGAACTAAAGCTTCCCAAGGAAAACCCACTGTACTAAGAACCACATTTTTCATCTCCCTGTTATCCCACAACCATTTTTCTTCAACCTGACAACTCTGTAATTAGAACCGAAGCCCTGTTGCTGCTGCTTTACCTTCCAAGTGGATTTTGTCTTTTTGCAGTTGCAGAGGATTTCTGCCAGGACTCCCACCATATAGGGCAGTAAGGACTCCTGCTTGTTGATATGAAACCAAGGCTGGAAAACTGCCCATTTCCCTGTGCTTCGTCCCCATTCACAGCCCAGAAACCCTCCCCAACTACACTGGTCTCTCTGAGATTAAAAACTCCCCAAGAATGCCAGATTCTCTTAAGAAAATGTTGCGGCCATATTTCCTGAGACAGAAGAGAAAAATCCCTTTTAAACTGTGCCGCCTAGAAGTTAAGTTCTTGAAATTTGCTAATATCCAGGCAACGTCTTCACTACTTTTGGACGCTGGACTCTTACAACAGCTTTCCTGTAAGGAATGTCGATACTGTAGCAACACATATATATGGTACCTCACAAAAGTTAACACATTATTATATCATTTTAGAGCTGGATAATAGGAAGAACACAAGTCACATTTCATTAATCAACTGAAAAACACTGAATGAGGACTGGGGAGCTCTGCTCTGTTCCATTGCTGAGCCTCTCCTCCAGTAAACACTGGTTAACTGCACACCGGTGTCAAAGTCGGTTTGCACAGCATCCGAGAGGCCTCGTGTTAAAAATGGAGATTAGGTTCCACAGGTAGGAAGTGCGGAGGGAGATCCCTGCTGGAACCCACCCAGGATGAAGAGCCAGTTCCTGCCAAGTGAAAGTCCACCAGCAGAGCCACAGTTAGCCTACCGATTCCAATTTCCAAATCAGCATAAACACCAGGATTCAGGGCGGAGCCAGACAGCTGGAACTTTGCAGATGTGGTCAAAATGTTTGTAAAGGATGAGTGGGGGTGGGGGGCTTTCCAGAATACTGCCCAACAATTCTGGGCTGTCAGAGGCAACCCCATAGGCAGGCAGATGGCAGCATGGGGAAAAGCAGACAGAGGCACTGTGCCAGGTTGCACGGCACAGGGGCCCAGATGAATCCACCCCATAGAGGAAGGATGGATTAAAGCCTAGAAAACTGGGTTCCAATCCTGACTGCCACTCACCAGCCATGTCACCAGTTAGTCTGGATCTCAGCTTTCTTACTTCTAAAACAGGACAGATAGGTGCTTTGTGTCCACCTAGAGGGGTGGGATAGGAAGGGTGGGAAGGAGACGCAAGAGGGAGGAGATATGGGGATGTATGTTTATGTACAGCTGATTCACTTTGTTATACAGCAGAAACTAACACACCATTGTAAAGTAATTATACTCCAATAAAGATGTTATAAAAAAAAATAAAAAATAAAGAGGAGGAGCTGGGACTTCCCTGGTGGTCCAGTGGCTAAGACTCCATGCTCCCAGCGCAGGGGCCCCAGTTCAATCCCCCAACAGGGAATTAGATCCCACATGCTGCAACTAAGAGTTCTCATGCCGCAGCTAAAGACCCTGCATATCGCAACTAAGACCCAGTGCAGCCAAACAAATAAATAAATATTTTTTTTAAAGGAGGGAGGAGCTGACTGGGCAGGAAGTGGTGGGGCAGGGCATGTACAGGGAAGGGACAGGTAAGAAGATGATGATGCCGCAGTCTGGGAAATGTAGGGTTCATCATTCTGGGAGACATGCAGGTAGAAATATCCAGTACACTGTCCAAAAGCTCAATGCATTCATTCTTCCTCTCCACAATATTAGCTGAGCATCTACTCTGGAAACAGCAGGATAACCTGTCACAGAGCTCGCAGTCTGAAGGGGAAGACATACCGCTGAGAATATAACACTCTCAGGACTGGCAGCTTTGGGAGCACACAGCAGGGGACCTGACCTAGTCCAGGATCAGGGAAGACGAGGAGGGAGGTTTCCACTGAGACTCTGTTAGCCTGAGAGGAAAAGAGTATTCCAGGAGAGGGTACAGCATGTGCAAAGGCCAGACAGTAAGGGAGAACTCCAGGAAGCCATTTACGGCTGGGATGAAGAATGTGACACACGGGTGAAGCATTTGGAGAGGGGTGTGCTGGGCCTTTCCAGTGCTGCTAAAAACTAGGGGCGTGAAATACTTCCGTAGCGTCCAGTGGTTAGGACTCCGCGCTTCCACAGGCTTGATCCCTGGTCGGGGAACTAAGATCCCGCTTGCCACTTGATTCTATGAGATACTGAAGCAGGGGTGGGCTGTGGTCAGCTTTTCATCTACAAAATACATTCACACTCTAGCTGCAGAGTGAAAAATCAATTGGAACTAAGCTATTTATCATCTACAAGATAATGTCCTAAGATCTGTGCAAGACCCTCATGGATCCAGCCGCTGCATGCCAGCCCCACTCTCTCGGTCTCTGGCCAACACACACTCCACCAATACTAAACCACTGTGGTTTCCAGAAGGTGTCATGATCTTTGGAGTGTCTCTATCTTTGCATGTTCAGTTTCCTCTGCTCAGTTGGTCTTCTCCCCCTTCTTTAGGCCCCCAAGTCAGTTTTAAGGTTTCTTCCTCAAAATTCCCACTGGACCTCCAATCTCACTGCTGCATAATGGTTTGTTCACTGTCCCCCCTCCCCCATCCACCACCAAATGCTCTTCAAGCTCCCAAACAGGACCACACCTTCTCACATTTGTATTCCCAGCCCCCAGCACAGTGCCTGGAGTGAATTAAT